TCTATCGTCAATTATACTAAATAATGTTATTTTTTACAGACTCAACAGAACCTTAATGATAGTTTAAATACTCTTATATTATTTTAATCTGAGTGTCTACGCATCATCATTTGATGTTATACAAGAAAAATAAAAATATTTTAATTTCACCATATCAATTAACCTGTGTCCTTCAACAGAAAATGTTCTTGTTAGACGTTCATTGTTTTCAATAACTAACGTATTTTAGCATTTATGATGGGTACTGGCATTGTTATAGAAATCCATTTTTTAATCAGGTCTTAAAAAAGGCAGTCAGTAGATGTTGTTTATACTATTAAAAAATATTTCTCTATCCACTATGACGATCAACAATTAAAAAGAACTCTCTCATTCAAACCTTTTGGAAAATCAAAGTAGATACTAAAAATTAACATTGATGGGAGATCTTACAATTACTGCTCTTTAAGTCATCCTCTCAGTATATCAACATGAATATCGTGATTATTTGGCAGAGTTAAATTAACTTCACAAATAAAATTTTGAAGAATTGCACCTAAGTATATTTTTAGTGTTCTAGATCATACTACTAACAATATTCAAGTAGCGTCGCGCGAAGAGTGCTCTTTATTTAACATGAAATTGCTTTTAAGTTTGATACAATCGTTATAAGCAAAGATGGATAGTGGCTAGCAATGGAATTCAGAACTCGCGTTTCGTCCTATTTGGGATTCGTCATTTGGATGTACCTGCATCGCAGAGTTGGTGTTCACTCTGGGACTCAAACCCAGTACCATTCGCTTCAAACGCCATTGAGTTATCTACTTAGCTACTGAGTCCTAACAGTCACTTGGTTGTGAAATGGGGTGAAGTTATATTCGCTTGGTGTTGTTTACTTATATCTTCCCACTGTTATTTAGGACTGTAATTATTCAGTCTGTTATTGGCATATGTAAATCCTATGCGGAATGCCTCGATATTACCTGAAGTCATATGCTTTATTAGCGAAGATGCACATTTGCCAACAAGAGACTAATCAATTACAGTCCTAAATAACAATGGGAAAATACAAGTAAACAACGCCAAATGAATTTGATACAATCGGTTGGTATTATTTTTTTAAACTAAGCGCAATCATTATCGTGGGCTTCATTAAATTTGCTGCACTAATTGTGTCTTTATTATCTCATGTTCACCTTTGTTTTGTAAATTAAATGCATTGCTGTAAATAAATTTGTTGAGAATCCATTGCAAATCAATTTACTATAATCGTAAAAAAATAAATAAGTTACTGGTAATAAAAATTTTGATTATGCGGGAATAGAGAAAGTGAAGAAAGTCAAAACCAACTGAACCATAGGGGACATACCCGAACTAGTCGAGACAACAGATATACTGGAAAAAATTAATTAATCGTTAAACTTGCTACTATTCAAATAATTTTATTATTGAACACCAGAAATATTAGAGACCAAGGGAACCTACTCTTGGTAGTAGAGAGGTTATATGGAGATTGATCAATATATGGGACACATCACTGACAGAAATATAAACAGATAACAATAGTTTATTATAGCATCCATGTCCTCACTAGCGGCTAACTCCAAGATCCATTTCTGATGATCTAATAAGAAGCAAGGACCACATGAGTTCGGAGATGTCAGGCTTGCGACAGTTATTACCATTTCTAATATATAAAACGGCCTCATAAAATAACTGATTGACAGTGTGAGCCACTAGGTGAAATTGAGTTGATCAGAAGAGTAAGTGCTTGTCTCTTGACACTTAGATCTAGATTTTGGTCCCTGGTGGGTTCGTGAATATTTCACACCTCAAGAATCTCATAACAATACAGAACAGCTGTGTAGTACTTTATAGTTTTCAGTGGTTTCCTGAATCTATCCGTCTCATGACTTCAATTATTAAAAAGGATAAATTTATGAATTCCTCATTTGTACTAATAATATATGTTGGAGTATAAGAATAACCACCGGCTAAGAAGTTGTATTTCACATACCAACATCGTTTTGAAGATATTTATTGTATATCAAACAAATACTACTCCTCATCTCCAATTTAGGTAATAAATCATTCCTAGCTTATTTTGTATATGCTGTATTTGGTTCTCAACTAAAACATAGCACTCTAATGAGTAAATAGACAAAGACATTTTCGTTGGAAACAAAAATACTTACATATTTCTAAACTAAACCAATAACTTCATAACTGAAAGAATAAGCGTCATATCACAAAACAGTAGATAATAATAATTCACTGAATATATGTTCAGACAGAAGTCATAAACAATACATCAAAGGAATATAACTAATGTAATCACTGGAGTGTCCCTATTTCTTCCATCTTCTATTTTCTGAGCTGTCTTCAAAAACTCTTCTTCTAATCCTCGGTTTTTTTCTTCTTTTGGCTCACCGTTGTGTGAAAGCTGTCGACAAATACTAAATCAGACCAAATTACAGTTTGTTCACATATGATAATCGTATGGAATTAAGTATAAACAAACTTATCGTAGATCCAGGTGATAATGTGGTGGTCGGTATTCGATATAATCTTTAAACTTCGTATACAGATCGTCTTGATAACCGCTCTATATAACGTCCCAACGGTATATTAATCAGAAGGCAAATACGGAGTGTTGATTACGTTTATTGCGAGACCACACACATATATCCAAATGTACAGATGCGTTAAACAAGCATAGAAGAGTTGTGCTGAAAGGTGAGCAAGCGAGCGAGAGCCAGAGCAAGAGCTAGACGACAGTGCGTGTGTGTTGAATATGAATAACATGGACATATATATACCATGTGAAATGAATGAGTAATCGAATCAAATAAGCAGTTAGTAGTAAGACTAGCAGAGTGAATAAATGCGTGGGCCGTAATCAATATTCAAGCAAACGTATTTCATACAAGCATAAAATAATAAAGGTACAATAAGTTGTTATGGTGCGGATGACTTTGTCCGTTAAATGAGTTAGCAAAAGGGCTTAACTGAGTTAAATGAGAAGAAACTCAATTGCACATGAGTCACTATAATAACAAAATAAACGCTAAAATGCTACAGAATATGATCATTCAAATTGCTTGAATGTAACTGTTATTATATTTTACTTGCATGAATAATCATTCTGGAGAAGTATGATGTATTTTGGGAATGGAAGAAGGTAATTTGATTATGAAAAATTAATATTGTCATTTTCTCTAATTGTTGCTTTCCCGTTCACCTTTATCGATCTTTCTCACAATTCTTATCTTTATGATAAATCTTTTCACTATAATATCCCTTTTTCACTTTTAGTTGAAATTCCGACTTTTCCACCGCTGATCGATAATGTAGTTTGAAATTAAGCCTATCTGATATCCAATATAATCTCACAAAAGCGTTTTTGACATATTTACTTATGACACAATTTGTCTAATGTTTGAACCTTATTTCTGATTAAAAAAATATCTTAAAAAAGCGATCTGTAACCGGATAATTTAAAATACGTTAAATAAATTTATCACATGGTGTTGATAATCTAATTCCATTAAAACTTTGATTGACTTAAAGATTCGGCTTATCTGTGCGATTTCAAGCTTTCTTTCAACCGTTTTATACTATAATATATTAATGATCCAAATCTTCTCTAAACATGTTACATTAATCATTTCATTATTCATTCTAGTTAAAAAGTTCATATCAATTTTATATTTATTATTGTAGATAATATAGATATTTAGATCGTTGATTAAAACACATTTGAAGCTATATCATTGTTTAGTCATCAGTGATTTTAAACTTCCAAACCTTTATACTGCTTTAATTTATTATTATTATTATTATTATTACTTCACTTCATTCTGCTTACATTATGGACAACACTGTACTTACATACTCTATGAAGTTGATTATACCATGATTTCTCATAGTTTCGTCTTTATATGAACATGGTTAGTATTAATGTGTATGTTCTTACTAACAATCATGGATGTGCACTGCTGAGGAGCATCATACCAGGACGAAACGGCCGTCATAACAGTGCTTCCAGGTTTTTCATGGTAGTCTAACTTTAATTGACTCATGAATTCAACTATCAAAATTTTTATATTAATAATCAAAACCATAAATCCGATTATACTAAAGTTATTATCGTTGTCACGTTTATATGACCGAAAAATTCAGGAAATGTCAGAACATGTCAATATTAGATGACAGAATATAGTTGAATTGTCAACATTTATTTCGTTATAGATATACTTTTCACATGACTTGAACATTCACAATGGAAACATGTGATTTTGACAAATTTATCAAAATAGAAATATTTATGAATAAAATAATTATTATTAATTAGTTATTTCAAAGAAATTAGTTTTATAGGGACTAATATATTAGATATTCCTTTCCTGTATTGTTTTTTCTTTCAGATGCGCAACTACTAGGTATTTAAAAAGAAAATTTCAGCATATGAATTCACTTGGTATTATTTTACTTGAATCTTCCCGTTGATGTTTAGTTTAGCAGTTAATCAGTTCGTTATTGGCATATGTGCATACTGTGTGTTTCGCCTCGATATTGCCTTAATTCACAAGCTTCATAAGCAAAGATGCATAGTGGCTAGTAATGGAATCCAGAACTCGCGTTTCGTCCTATTTAGGACTTATGAGCTGGATGTGCCTGCATCGCAGAGTTGATGTTCACTCTGAGACTCAAACCCAGTATCGTTCGCTTCAAATGCCATCGTGTTATCCACTTAGCTACTGATTTCTAAGTCACTTGCTTGTGAAATGGCGTGTAGTTTAAATTCACTTGGTATTGTTTTACTTGAATCGTCCCATTGATATTTACTCCGCCTGTAGCTCTTCTAGAGTTACTGGCGGTCTCAAGCCCGGGTAAAGGAGGAGGGTTGAGCATGGGTTTAGCGTCCCCATCCCGTAGAAAACTAACTCGCTAAAAAACGCTTACCAGAAAAAATTATTCAAACCATTTTAACTCTGCCCTGAAAGTTGGAAGATCTTCACTTAGAAGAATTATGACGCTTCATGGTGAAAGCCGAGTTCCTTCGGAAGCCACGAGGCCAATTCCCCTTCTAACAACCAGAGCAAAAATTTTTATAGGTACATGGAACATCCGAACAATGTGGGAGACCGGGAAGACCAGTCAAATAGCAACGAAAATGAGGAGATACAACTTGGCAGTACTGGGAATCAGCAAAACCCATTGAACCCAAGCTTGACAACAAAGGCCAAATACGGGAGAGATGCTATTATACTCTGGTTACAAAGAGGAAAATGCTCCGCACACTCAGGGAGTTGCTCTGATGCTGTCCAAAGTAGCACGAAATGCACTTGTAGGATGGGAATCTCACGGATCCAGAATCATCAAAGCATCATTCAAAACAAAGAAGGAGGGGATCACAATGAATATTATCCAATATTATGCACCCACCAATGATAGCAACGATGACATTAAAGATCAGTTCTACGAGCGGCTGCAGTCAATCATAGAGAAGTGCCCAACAAACGACCTCACCATTCTGATGGGAGATCTAAATGCCAAAGTCGGAATAGACAACACCGGATATGAAGATATTATGGGACGACATGGACTGCGACAGAGAAACGAGAATGGAGAAAGATTTGCAAATCTGTGTGCATTCAACAAATTGGTCATAGGAGGCACAATATTTCCACACAAACGTATACACAAAGCTACATGGATCTCACCGGACCACACTACAGAGAACCAGATAGATCATATCTGCATCAGTAAAAATTCCGAAGGACAATGGAAGATGTGAGAACCAGGAGAGGTGCTGACGTAGCTTCAGATCACCACCTAGTTGTAGCCAATTTAAAACTGAAGCTAAAAAAGAACTGGACAACTGGACAAACAGCACTACAAAGGTTCAATACAGCCTTCCTTCGAGACACTGACAAACTCAATGAATTCAAGATAGCTCTCAACAACAGGTTCCAAGCCTTACACGATCTACTGAAAGAAGAAGAAACTAGTATGGAGAACAACTGGAAAGGCATCAAGGAAGGATTAACTTCAACGTGTCAAGAGGTTCTGGGCCTAAAGTAACACCATCATAAGGAGTGGATCTCTATAGAAACACTGGACAAGATCAAAGAAAGGAAGAACAACAAGGCAGCAATAAACAACGGCCGAACACGAGCAGAGAAAGTCCAAGCACAAGCTGAATACATAGAAGCAAACAAACAAGTGAAGAGGAGCATTAGAGCCGACAAGAAGAAATACGTGGAAGAACTAGCAACGACCGCAGAAAAAGCTGCTAGAGAAGGAAATATGAAACAGCTTCACGATACAACGAAGAAACTAGCAGGGAAATACAGTAAACCAGAGAGGCCGGTCAAAGACAAAGAAGGCAAGACAATCACTAAGATTCAAAAACAAAGGAACTGATGAGTAGATTTATTTTCGGAACTCTTGAATAGACCAGCTCCACTGAATCTATCGGATATCGAAGCAGCACACACAGACCTTCCTATGGATGTCACTCTACCAACGATCAAAGAAATCAGAATAGCCATCAGACTAATCAAGAGTGGGGAAGTAGTAGGACCTGACAATGTACCAGCTGAAGCATTGAGCTTAGACACAGAGGCAACTACAAGTTTGCTTCACGTTATATTCAGGAAGATTAGGGAGGGAGAACAAGTGCCGATGGACTGGAAAAAAGGATATCTCATAAAAATATCAAAGAAAAGAGATCTGAGCAAACGTGCGAACTACAGAGTCATCACAGTACTACCGGTACGAGGGGATGTCTTCAACAAAATGCTGCTGAACCGGATGACAGACTCGGTAGACTCCCAGTGTCGAGATAAACAAGCTAGATTCCGTAAGGATCGGTCGTGCGCAGACCAAATCACGACACTGCGTATCGTCGTTGAACAATCAATTGAGTGGAACTCGTCACTATACATCAACTCCATTGATTATGAAAAGGCATTTGACAGTGTAGATAGGAAGACGTTATGGAAACTTCTTCGACACTACGGAGTTCCTGAGAAGATTGTCAACATTATCCGGAACTCACATGACGGACTACAGTGCAAAGTAGTACACGGAGGACAGCTGACAGATGCATTGCAAATGAGGACCGGAGTCAGAAAAGGCTGTTTACTATCCTCCTTCCTCTTTCTTCTGGTGGTCGACTGGATTATGAAGACCTCGACATCTGAGGGAAAGCATCGAATACAATTGACAAGTTGGATATAACTAGACGATTTGGACTTCGTAGATGACTTGGCGCTTCTATCCCATATATACAAACAAATGTAGATGAAGTCAACTAGTGTAGCATCAGTCTCTGCATCAGTAGGCCTCAACATATACAAGGGAAAAAGCAAGATCCTGAGATACAATACGGAGAACACCAACTCAATCACACTTGTTGACGAAACTCTGGAAGGTGTAGAATCCATCACATACCTGGGAAACATCATCGATGAACAAGGCGGATCTGATTCAGGCGTAAAGGTGAGGATATTAACGCCGTTGTGTGCCCGCTCATTGGTCTAGAGTTTGAGCGATCACACGCAAGACCAATAGGTCATGGGTTTGAATCTGGCGGGGCTGGATCGTGGATGTGCATTACTGAAGAGTCTCATACTGGGACGAGATGGCCGTCCAATGCTTTCAGGTTTTCCCTAGTAGTCTAGCTTCAATTGACTCATGATCTCAAATAGTGTAAAAATATATATATTTGGATTAATTATTCATTTATGAAGTGTTTTCAGCCTGTAATGAGTTTATTAACATAAAAAATTTAATGAGTTTAATACAAAAAGTATTTGTATTACGTTAGTTTATTCCATTTGACATTTAAACACTCTGGATAGTTAGTTTTGTAATGATATGCCAATAAAACCCTGATATATATAGAATAATATGGATTAGGTCAGATATAGTAGATAGGGATGGATGTTGAATAAATTTCTCAAAATGATTATCAAGTGTAATAATAATAATAATAATAATAATAATAATAATAATAATAATAATGACAGTGGTAAGATGTGTGGTAAGTTTAGGACATAAAAATGAACATTAATCAAACTACGTCATCATATTATAAAATTGATTATTAACTAGTTGGCCAGGGTAAAAGTAGCGACTGAACATATTTCTTTTGGATATAAAGCTCTGGTTTTTTTTTATCCGAATAGCAATTGCTTCAGCTGTCTGCACGATTTTTCAATCTGACTGAATTAAGTTGATTGTTGTTAACATGATATATTATTATTGCGAAAGATTGCTCAAATAATTCACTAGAATGTAATATACAGAATATTGTTTTAATTGAGTTCAACTAACTGACACAACTATAATTTGTTTTATAATTCAAGAATATATAACCAATCATTTTTAATTGTTAATCAAATTACAATTTACTCGTGAAATGTATTTATTCAATAATACTAAACGAATGAGGTGCACTTTAAAGTCTATGCTAATACTGACTATAAATAAAATAAACTTTAATTGACAAAATACTACTAAATTGAATATAAACTTTGATTTATATCTTGATAAATATTTCTTGTACATATTGAAATGTTAATTTTCTTTTTGAAAATACCATCAAAGAGATTTTTCAGTCATATTATAAACAAAATTTTAGGAATAGGAAGTTTCTTGATTATATTATTGCTTACATTATATCATCTGTCAATTCCACCTAAGATACACATATATTATTCAGACCATATCCAAATAAAACGACACAATGCTAGTCATGTTTGTGAATATCTTTTCAAGAACTCTACTATGAATCATAGTCATGAAATTTCTGACAATAATCAATCATTGTGGAATGACAGAAATTTCAGTTTATCAAATCCATACAGTTGCAAACAGTTCAAGTTGTTCTATGGTCATACTGTTAATTTGTCAAAGGAAGAAGAACAATTTCCACTGGCATTCAGTATAGCTATACATCAAAGCAATAAACAAGTATCTCGTCTCCTTCGTTTGATTTATAGACCACATAATTTATATTGCATTCATGTAGATTCGAAATCTCCGCAAACATTCTATGATGAAGTTTTAAATTCTGCTAAATGTTTCGGTCCTAACGTTATAGTGGTTAATAGATCAGAAAGTGTAAATGTTCAATGGGGTTATTTTTCCATACTTGAAGTGTTTCTTTTATGTGCGGATAAATTATTAAATAATACTGACTATATGTGGAAATACATTCTAAATCTAACTGGACAAGAACTGCCTTTAAGAACAAACTGGGAGTTGGTTGCAGCACTGAAAGCTATAAATGGTTCGAATGTTGTAGAAGGTCTAGGTCCTCGGTTTAACCGTAATAGATGGCCTAATAAGAAATTTGAATTTCCTGTAAGTTAAATATGATTTTATCACAATACTTTTTCACTATCAATAATAAATTATTAATTTAAGCAAACTTTTAAGTATATTTTTTATGTTTTTTAACATTATTATTTCGAGAATTAGTAAAAGCAATTTATGCAAGAAATTTTAAGTCAAAGGAAAATCAGCATGATATAATACAAATATGAAATAATAATCCATAAGTTAGTAACTTGTTGTGGATGCGGAGGAATAGACCAATAATTATCATGTTAAGTCCAATGGTATCCTTGGACTTTAAATGGACATTTCCTATTGGTCGATATCTGTTCACTTGTTGAATATTGTACAAAATGTTGTTTTCTATTTTGTGGTACGATGTGGTATGCTTGATTGGTATATAAACAGAGTATGTTTGAAATATAATGATTCATATCTCCGAGGCTGTGACTCGTGTTCTGGACTCAACTGACTGGGCTAGACAGGGAAGCGAGACCAATCGAGGCTCTAGGCTGTCCGTTCGTGTTTACGTGTCACTGTAATCGATCGATAAGTACTCTGCTCTCTAATTTTCCAGTCAAGGACACAACAATTGGCACAGGGTAAAAATCGACCGCAACTTAAAGACATAACATAACTAGTTAGAAGTAAACATGCTGATACCTTCTTTGGGAGTCGAGATTCACAAGGAATTAATGAGACGTAAAAGTTGTTTAGATAATACTTTTTATAATGATTCATTTGTTAACTAATTTAGTTCAAGAAAATAACTATAATTTTGAAACTATTGGTTTAAGACAAATACTATTCAAAAATGTTGGAAAGTCATAATTAGAAATCATGAAATGATCGAAGCAAGACTACCTTTGAAAACTTGGAAATACTGGACAATCATTTTGTTCCAATATGGAACTCCTCAAGAGTGCACATATTCAACCCTGAATGTAGGAATTGAATCCAGGACCTTAGGTCTCATACACGAACACTTGATCTCCAGACCATTGAGTTGGCATTCAATGGTATTAATACCTAACTCCGACCAATCCACGACATAACGTGACCATCTTCCATTGTTGTCGGTGGGTAACTGTCTCACACCCGATACAGTTTAATAATACAAGAGAGATATGAAAAAAATTCGAAACTTGGAGATGTTTTTTCTGAACTGTATGGTTTAATTT